GGTCCTTAGGTTCTCATAATGTATGTATAAACAGATTTATATATTAACATAATCCTATTGTAAGGATAATAAAGGTGTTGCTAAAGCTGACCTTTAGGACCCCTTTTTCCACACTTTTTTATCAAAACACAACACGTGCCACACATTGCTGTGTGTTTAGGATCCTGCATTAAGGAACCCTGTTGTGTTTTGCATTCAAATACATAATATATATTGACATACACTACTGGTCAAAAGTTTAAGAACACCTCAATTTTTCCAGTTTTTATTGAAATGTAGGCAGTTCCAAGTCGAGTGAATAACCTTAAATGGTACAAAGTAGGGATGCACAGAAAATTTTCGAGTACCAGTGCAGATACTTGGCATTTTCATGAGAACTACCAGGGTTGCAGCGGTTGCAGCTGGGACCTGGCTCTGGCACTCCACCACTTTCCTGAAATCATTAGTCTGTATTGTTTTAGAAAAACTGTCACATGACAATAAACAAAAATGTATCAGTATTCGTACTTGTAAGTACTCGGCAAGTACCAGTACTCGTACTCGCAAAACTGGTATCTGTGCATCCCTTTATTTACATTTATAAAAACAAAATCGTACATTAAAACAGAGATGTACAAATCGCAGAAGCTCCGTGTGCTCCTTACAAATGACAGCTGCCTCCTAATTTTTTAATTTTTCTCTAGTCTTGGAGCTCAAAAGTATTGATACTTGTACTTGTACCGAGTACTGTACTTGGTATCTGTGCAACCCTAGTACAAAGGTAAGCCAGATGTGAAAAAAAAACAAAATTTAGGTTAACAAAAACTGAGAAATAATGAATATTTCCGGGTTATACAAAAAAGTCCTAGGGAAGAAGTAAATGGTTAACAGCTCACAGTTGTTCTGCAGCAATGCAAGTAAACTAAGCCTTGAAGGTTTATGCTAATCATTCCTACAGGTGTCCCCACTTTTCTTGTTTACTCACTAGCCCTCTGTCTGTATTAAAGCAGTGTTGGAACAGACTTTGTTACTACACCCTCTTAAGCAATATTTGCTCTCAAATTGGTGAGAAAAAGGCACTTAAAAAAGACAGACAGACCATGGTAATCCTTAAAAGTGTAGGTCTTTCCTTTAGAGAAAATGCAAAGAAAGCCAAGGTGTCCGTGAGTGCAGTTTCCTACACCATCAAAAGGCACTTGAAAAGTGGAGGAAACTCTGATAGGAAGAGGTCTGGCAGATCGAAAGCCACAACAGAATCAGAAGACAAGTTTCTGAGAGTCAACAATTTTCATGACAGGCAGCTCACAGGACAACAGCTTGCAGCACAGCTTAAAACTGATCAAAGTAAGCAAGTCTTAGTTTCAACTGTGAAGAGAAGACTTCGAGCTGCAGATTTAACAGGTCGAGTGGCAGTAAGAAAGCTATTGCTAAGATGGCAAAATAAGAAAAAGAGGCTTGATCCATTGGTCTTATGGACCAATGGATCAAAATTTGAGATCTTTTTTTTATCACGCAGGGTTTTTGTACACCATTGAGTAGGCGAAAGGATGGTTTCTCAGTGTGTGACACCTACTGTCAAACATGGAGGAGGAAGCGTGATGGTCTGGGGCTCTTTTGCTGGATCCAGAGTAGGGACATTTTTGTCAGTGGCACCCTGTACCAAAACTACCACCACAACATTTTGCAATACCCTCTGGTGTATGCCTAGTTAGTCAGGGGTTAAAGATAATGACCCGAAACATACCTCCAGGCTGTGTCAGAAATACCTTAGAAGAAAAGAATCAAATCATAGAATGGCCAGCACAGTCTTCTGACTTAAACCCATTGAGCTGGTTTGCGATGAACTGGACAGAAGGGTGAAAGCAAAGCAACCTACAAGTGCAACACATTTGTGGTAATTTCTGCGACAGTGTTGGGAAGAACTTTCTGAACAATATTTGATTTCCATTGCAGAAAGCATGCCATGAGTGTGTTTGGCTGTTATCCCTGAAAAGGTTGTTACTTTGATGAGTCAAAAATGTGATAAAATTTTGTTAAAGAAAACGATTCCATGATTCATTTTGGATGTCCAATTGTTTATTTGTTCTATGCTTTATTTTCAGAGTACACTGAGACAGTAAACTACGTACATTTCAATAAAAGTAGAAAAATTGAGTGTTCTAAAACTTGTGACAAGTAGTGTATGTTGTGTTCATAGCATTTGTTATATTTTTTTCTTTACGGTTGACTTCTTAGGGCTTATTCTCACTGATGTTTTGAATTTCACAGTTTTTCATCACAGAGAAAATGGATGGACATGACAAACTTCATTGTTTGCAGCAGGACCCATTTTTACCTATTTTGTTTTGTATTGGGGAAAAAGTTTTGCATGCAATGTTTTGCCATTCACATACCCGAATACTGTACCAAGAAAATGCAACACATCTGAAAATGCATGGCATGCAAAGATGCTTCACCATGTGTTTACTTTAATTTTGGTGAATAAAAAGCCTGTACTGAGTGAAAAATTCAGGTTACCACTGCTGACATCTACTTCAGAAAATGTTGGTTGTCTTGGTTATCTCACGGCTTTTTGAATCACTAACAAAGAACAAGTATGTAGATCCAGTGTTTTAATTTGGGGTCAGTTACCCAAAATATTGGAGTTAAGATTGGCAATGACCTCACTTTCACAACAGGTTTCCTTTACAGGTTAACTACAGTTTTATCCTATTGGCTGTGGGGAATGATGGACTCTAGGTGTTAAACTTTCTCAGGACTACTGAAAAACAGCAGTTTATAAACTATGCCTACACTGCTGTAGCAGCTCTATCTTGTTTGCATCTGATGTCTCTAGCCTTTACCCTTTAAAGGTTTCCTTATGAATAGCTTTATTTATTTACTCATTTTTTTCTTGATACATTTTCCTTGAACCAAGCCATGATATAGGTCAGGACTGTAGCTAAGAAGTATAGAAATATATGGGGAAAGTGATATGGGATAATTTTAAGTTTCTCCATGTTTACTTGTACTAAATGGGATATACACTGAGTGGCCAGATTATTATGACCACCCCATCAGTACTTCATTGGGCCACGAGATAACTCCACGAGATGACTTCGTTGGGCCGCCTCGTGACTCCACGAGATGTTGAAAGGTGATGCGAGGAATCTGACACTGCACTGTTGCCCTTCTGTTGTCTTGTACCAGTCTTGCCACTCTCCGTTCTGCCCTAACATTGACTAGTCGCTGACGGCCACAATTCGCACGTTCAGACCCAGATTTTCCAGGCCAGGCTTTAAACACTTTAACAATGAGCCCCTCTTGAACATTTAACGAATTCTGCTGTTTTGCTGATACTCGCTCCATGGCTCTGAGCGCCAACAATCATCCCACGTTCAAAGGCTGTTAAATCGCGTTGTTTACCCATATCTTCAGAAAAAAATCACTTCTTTTATCGTGGTAAACAGCCTGCTTCCCTATTTATAATGGTCTGGCCCTCTAGCAACTTCAGCGCGTAATTATAGCTAATTTGTCTACAAACGTCAGGTGGTCATAATAAACTGGCCACTCAGTGTATACAGACATAACTATGCACAAGTTGACATACATGCATTACTGGCACACTTGTACATGGATTTTTGAATTTAGGGCATCACATTATTCTGTGAAATTTGCCTTAGATACAATTTTGGATTTAGGTCATAACTTTAATAATCCTTACAAAAACTTAAAATCCATCTAAACCCTCTATTATAATTTTTTTTGCTTTTAGAGGTGTAAACAAGCAAGTTGGCATGTTAATTGTCTTAGAAGAAATGTAATTTATCTCTTTTTTTTAATGGTGAATTCAGTTGGGAGGATTTCTCCTCGCTTACCTCACTAGATAATGCTGCAGGGAGGGACTGGGCAGAACTTTTACATAGTTTTCCTCAGCTCCTGCAGATGAAGCAATATGCTGTCAGTCTAATGGGCTTTGAACAGAGCTGGGCATAGTTTTTCTCTGAAGGGGTTATCAACAGTGCCAACATCAAAGCAGCTACAGCTGCAGCAAAAAAAAGTGCCTATCCAATGGTTCTGCTTGCAGGATCAACAGGTATTTAAAAAAACAGAGAGCCTAGTCTTACAACTATGGGCTGCCTGTATTATAAATGTGATTTTATAGTTAGACCATAGTTCTACTTTAAATTCTCTAGTTGTTCAAGAGCTGTTTGCTGTGTGAGCTATGACTAACTCACTGCAAGTAAAAAGCAAATTTTTGTATAATTGATTTATGGTATATAAATGCTACATAAGCTTTTTTTGCAAGGAAATATTATAGTAAGGTTCTACGTTGGCAAACCTTTTGTGGTACGGCTCAAGAAGTCACACTTCCCCTGGCTCTTCATGTAAGTGTTCAGTGGTGGAATGACCTTGTGCTATTCCCAAGCAATTTCACGTGGAGGAAGGGTCTAAGTCTATGCAAGTACCAGTGAGTATTTATAAATCAGTATTTAGTAGGAATATCTGCAGGCTCTTGTGAAAAAGAAAAAGGCATCTGGCAGCTTAGGGTGCTTACTATACAGGAGGCGCTAAACAGTCAGTAAAAATGTACATTACCTTTCCAATTCATTCTGCAACTAGCTGTGCTTTTCTATACTTGACCATTAAAGGAAAAGTACAAGCTCTTAATCTTATCAAGCTCTTGTGAGAAGAGCTTCACTTTCAGAAACAATGCTCTAAAGAGCTACATAAGATATGGGTTGACATTTTCTGAATATCATAAGAAACTGACAGCTAGTATGTCAAAGGTCTGCAAAGCTTTAATTGCGGCAAATGGGGGATTATTTGATGAATGTTACGTTTGATAAATAGAACAGCTATATAAAGAATGTTTTGTTATAGTTTTTGTTAATCAGTTGACATCCGCGGTGTTAAACCCCCTTCCCATCCAGGCCATTTTTCAGTATTCAGCACTGCGGTATTAATGCGCATATATTTTTCAAAGTTATTTTTTTCTTTATGAAATAAAGATTATATGTTTATTTCATTCTTTGTTACAGCAAATCTTTACAGATGTGGCAAGTGGAGAGCTCTCAACTGAATTAACTGATGAAGTTAGAACAATGGACAATCTTATTACTGAAATTCAAGAAATCAGTAATCGGCTGCGTAATCAATACTGAATTGGAATTTGTTGTAACAAAATCTATTGTATAATAAATGTTTTGTTTCTTAAAAGCCTTGGTATGTTGTGATTACCACTTTTGTTAGCTGAAGACTCGTAATCTCCTTCAGAATCATGTGTTTAGACTATATGTAATGGTTTTAGACACCCTGGAATGACTACAGTTTTATTATTTACACGGCACTTCTTTGGGATTAGTTTTACATGAGTGCATCAACTAATTGGCTGATGTCCACAGAGTGAAACTGCTGAGGGTTGGAAAAGTCATCTTTTATGTCACAAAACGGAGAACTGTGCTGTTTTCCATTATAAATCATGAGACCACATGATTGCAGTGGTGAGTCATTATATTAATATTGTCAAAATACTGTTATTATGGATCAGTCACCAGTTAATGCAGGCTAACACATGAGCATACTGTATATTGGCAACAACTTTGTTTGCACCAAGCCCTCACACATCCCTAATCAAAAGGCTCTTTGTAGTTGGCCTTTTCACCACGTATTAATATTGTCAAAATACTGTTATTATGGATCAGTCACCAGTTAATGCAGGCTAACACATGAGCATACTGTATATTGGCAACAACTTTGTTTGCACCAAGCCCTCACACATCCCTAATGAAAAGGCTCTTTGTAGTTGGCCTTTTCACCACGTATGTATGTATGTTATCATGAGTGTTTGCATTTAACAAATATCTTCCTCAAGTATGGTCATCTATAAGTGGCCCTAGCATCAGATACTTTTTTTGTATGGTAATGATATCCCTGCTAACTCAGGTGGAAAGTGTTATACTTACAGTTTATTAAAATTTTTGTAGATTTCTTTTCTAACAGAAAGTAAATCTCTACACTTTTAAGAGTTATCCCCCAAACAAGTGCCCCATGGGAAGATTTAACAACTGCTGTAATTCCAGTGATAACTGTACAGTAATAGATTTCTGCTCACTTTCTGTCCTGGTGATATTGGAACGTGACAGTGCCACGTTTAACATCCCTTAACATAGACATAAACAGCAAGAGAAACTTGACAGAAGCTCTTTGCCTGGAATTCATTTTTAAAAGACTCTACTTGGGGACTTTTTTACATTTCTTTTATTTTCTTGCCCTTGGGGTGCAATGATGCTGGAAATTATAAGTTAGGGTTTTGCTCTTTAAATGGTCTCCAGGATGCTGCTGTGATGGGGCATGAGCTGGGCTCCTCTGGTTCCTTCACCACAACAGCACACTCTACAATGCCTGCAGGCAGAGGTTGCAGTCGGGAACAGCAGGCTGCAGCAACCTATTGTTGTACCGCAACTTGAAGGCTGGCTGCAACACTTTAAATAGAATGTTGCAGTAATGCAGTGCAAACCATATTATGCAGGGTTTTATTGTGTTGCTTTTTGCAGCAGGAGCTCTGGCATTTTTAAATTTGGTGGCCTTAGTTTCCTGCCATTGCACCTGCACAGTAGACATGTGCGATTTGTTTAGTTCCAAATTGAAATTCGGACGAATATCAGCAAATTAAGACATTCTGATCCATCCGAATTTCACAATGAAAAAATAACGAATCCGAATTTTCCAATAACGACATTTGGATGCAATCCGAATTGTACCACTGATATTATCTAATAACCTGAGGATCTCAAAGAGAGTGCTCAACCATGTTAGAGGGACTGCTTTAAATTGGTTCCTTTTTGTACTCTATTTTCTCTTATGCATACTAATAAAGATTGTATAGGTTTAGGTTATCAAAAATGTATGGGAGTGGTGTCTGATACCTCTAAAGTGCAATTTTTGAGTTTCTATTTTATCCTATGTGTCTTAGGGGTATGGTATAAACAATTTTGGTGATTATATGCCCAGGTTACATATACCCATTACTTTAATAATTAGAAAGAGAGGATAATCCAGAGGTTTCTTTGGCCTGGGTTACATGCAGATGTAAAAAAAATATCGTCAGTCATGCCTGGAATGTCAGTATTCTGCACCAATGCCCCATAGCCCACTGGTACTGTTGCCAATCATTAAAGACCATTTCCACATTTGTAAGTGATTAGCATTTATTGTGGTAATGTAGAGGTGCGGTGATGATGTATATGTGTGTACATTTTCGTGACTCGCATTGCTGGCTTTCCTAATTTTTATGGACTTTTTAGTAGGCCTGAGTCCTACAAATTAAACATTTTCTACACAGGAAACTCAGTCTCACACTGGGGTCAGAATGTGAAGCTGCTGACCCCCTCCCTGTGAGTAATTGTAACAAGATCACTGCACACCAGATCTCCCTTTCCAGGTCATAATACACTGTCCAGATGGGTTGCCAATGTGAATACTAATGAATAAGGCTCAGAGAGAGAGAGCATTCATTTACACAGTCTGCTTGCAAACCAAAGAGTCGGCCATTTCAAACTGCCTGCTTCACATATTTTCAGTGTACAATGCTGGCATATGTTGTTTTTTTTTTTAAATACCTCCGCAAACGTGGAAATGGGCTTTAAAGTGCCATCTGGAAAAATGGGCATGGATCTGGTCGGCCCAGTTGTAAAATCTGCATATACTAGTAATACTGAACTGTGCTATGTAATATTGCAAAATAACTTTTTCAGGTATATAAGTGGGTAGGCATCCTGAAGGTAATATTAACTGACCAAGGTACACGTTTCATGTCTACAGTTACTAAGGGTTTCTGCAAATTGTTTATCTTAATCTTACACCTTGCACCTCTGTCTACCACCCCAAAGTCAGTGGTCTGATAAAAAGATTTAATAAGACTTTTAAGAGCAAAGTGGTAGACAGAGCTGGGAAGGACTGGGATTTCTTATTGCCCTAGCTCATGTTTGCAGGATGAGAGGTCCCTACTTCATCTATAGTTTTTTTTTACCTTTTAAGTTACTTTAAGGTTGGGACCGCTTGCTAAATGTTGCAAAGGAAACATTAAGCATATCATATTGTGCTAGGTAGAATTGCAGCTATCATGCCCCTTGTTCAGGAACATAAGGAGCAAGCCCAGGAATCCCAGAAAAAGGTTTATAATAGCGGCACCAAAGTACGTAATTCTAACTTGGGATGTAGGGTTCTAGTGTTAGTTCCCACAGTCAAAAACAGATAGTTGGTTAAATGGCTAGGCCCTTTTGAGGTCATGGAGAAAGTAGCAGAAATAAACTATAAAGTCTATCAGCCAGGAAAAAAGGATATCAGAACAAATCCATCCCATTAAAATACTTGCACATGGTCTAAAAAAAACAGTTTTTAAAATACAGGTTTTTTTTTCTACAGATCTGAACACAGTGCATTGTTTTATATGAGTCAATACACAGTGTGTAAAGATCTGTAGAGCTACGCTGCGATCACATCCGTAAACCGGAAATAGAAAAAAAAATTGTGCCTGTGGTCAGTAAAGTACACATCTATGCATCGAAATTAGAGGATTTCTGTTTTTGTTGGAAATCCCTTTTAATCCTACGTTTAGAACTAGCAGCTGTTTTGTCACTCAACTTGGATCTTTAGAGCTCATTCAGACTATTCTGCCATGATGCTGTCTGTTTCCATACGTGCAAAATTGTGCAGTGTTTTGTGCAAGGCAGCCCATTTATTTTGATAGGCTGCAAACACACAATAACACAGGTATCAATGGTCCTGCATTGTGTTAGTGCAATGCACTACAAAGCACAGATGGCTAAAAATGCATTTGCGCTGTTGTATGCTAGGTCTAGGTACACTGGAGTGCCGCTCCAAATGATTGTTACCATAAATATAAAAACACATAGAGTTCTCTACTTCTTTACAAATAACACCAGTACCTCTTTACAAATAACACCTGTTCTTCCTATTTTTCATTCCTTAAAATCATATTTTTGGTGCATTGGTATGTAAGTATTTTTGCAAACCAAATGTCTTTCTGTCATGACATTACTGATAAGACATTACTGATGAATCAAAATGTTTTCTTAAAATGTATCTACATTTGGATGAATGTTTTATATGGTATATCACCACTTGAAGAACACACAGCAAGCTAGGGGAAACTGCTACAAACAGCTCCTAAATTGTTCATATGAAGCTAGAAACCATGGTGCCCCTTTGGTCAGTTGCACCACGAGATCTGCACACAGACACCATTATATAGCTGTGTTGAAATCCAGCAGAAGATCTTTTCATAACAATGATTGACAGCAGGTTTCCTAGAAAGCTTCTGTTGTTTGCTAGACACAAATTTGAAGTCTGCTAAGCTGAATAAACTGCATTCTAAAAGCCTAGACTGGGGCCAGTCCAGCTAATCTCCTTAGATAAATCTTCATAATTGGCCAGGAAAGTACAGTATAAATGTGTTACTGTAACTGTTGCCAGATGAGATGATGTTCAGGAGGGATGTTAATATGTGACTGTATGTAAATACAACATGATCCTGTACTTAATTAAAGGGAAGAGTTATACTACTATAGTGAATGTAAGGAATTTGACTTGTGTATATCGGTGTTCCCTGACTGCAGTATTTCTTTGGCCCATTAATTTAAAAGCCCTGGATGGCTTATTTCTAGTCCACCAATTGAATTTCCTGATCAGCAGGTTACAAAGTCAAGAGTGCACTGGAATTTAGCTTTTTTTCTGTAGGGTTCTGTTTGCTCTTTTTATCATTTTCATTTTCTATACCTTTAAAACATCATTTCAGATATAAACACATAAAAGCAATAATCCAGTGACTTCAAGGTCACATATGGCCTGCATTGTCAGCTTTGGTGCCATAGCCTGGCCATTCTGATTCAATGATTTTCTATAAATGATATGTTGTTTTAAATGATGGACTTAGTATAGTGGTTACTGTATCTGTTGTTGCATATGACAACAGTGAGGGAAAGTCCATTCCTTTTTTAATGTATAATACAGTCAAAAGTCGCTGCCACATTGCCTTTTTTCTTTTTTTGCTGAAAGCATATGTTATATTAAAGAATTAACATTTCTATCTCATTGTCTGTTAATTCAGATTGTTCTTTCTTGTTTACATGGTTTTTAGAACT